ATTAAAGCCTAAAACCGACGTTACGCGAGATTCTTGGTCTCTTAGCGACAGACTCGCCGTTTTCGCCCCCGACAGTACTTATATATAATATGGGTATACTATCTTTTTTTTAATAATAGAAGGGTGCAACATATGTATTATTATTATGAAAATAATCTTTGTTATATATCATGGTGTATCTAAAATAATACCAAAAGTAAGTATCGTGTCCAGGATGCAAGAAAATATTACCCAACTTTTGATCGATATTCATCCACTCTTGACGTTCTTTAAAAAATACTGGCATGTTACCCCAAAATCTGATGTAAATTATTCGTGTTAAGCAGTTCTCGTCCCAATAAAGTTTAAATATTTCGTTTTGAGACATAAGGTACATGTTTATTTCGTTACTTTTATTACAAAGGATTACCTCCTTAAAAAGATATTCCCAGGCATTTTCATTTATTGTTTTAAGATTTTCTGAGACGATAATGATGAATTCGATCATACTTTTTCGTGATGATGTATTATAAAAGTCTTTTTCAATTTGGTCTTGAACATAATCACGTATGAGGTAATGGTTACCAAGTTTGTTCATGAGCTTATTTCTAATTTCGAATATAGTTCAATTGCTATGATACGTGTATTTACTCATGTTTAAAATGTATATTTTATTATTTTAATTGTCATGATTAACAACATTACAGATCATCATTAGCAAAATGTCATTCACGATCGTATGTTTATCAGACAGATTTTCTAAACCCTTGATACATCCATATCCGATTGGTATTTTTATTTTGATTAGAACTTAAAGGATTCATATTATTTAATTAAATCATTTTAGTTTCATCATCTTTAAATATTTTAAATATTTCCACCAATAAAATTAATTCATGTGACCAAACTCAAGCGTTTACATTTTTTCTTCTTTTTCTTCTATTCTCTTCTGCGAAGCAGAAGAGCTGGCGAAGCCAGCCAATCAACAACGTTGATTGGAGCCATTAGAATTAACATTATAAGTTATGCATAGCATAACGTAACATATCATAATTAGCTTTGCTAATGAGCGATTTGTTACACCGTTGAATATATAGCATTTACTGATGATGACATCATCAGTTGCTGCTGGATCTTCAACGGTACTATTATATGTTAATTCTAATGGCTATTAGTAAAAAGTAAATTATCACTTGTACATCTTCACCAAAACTACATTTTTTTTCATTATATTAGTTCCCTTTCCCTCTCACGTGCCTTGTGACCCACGAATCACGTTTTCTGCTCATGTTGGACCAATCGCTGCTATAGGAAAGGATGATCGAAAAAACTCTCCATTTTACTGCGGCCTGGTCAAGTTTCGATCGTCAAAAATTGCCTCTGAACTGAACGATTGGTTCGGGTGAGTTTGGTCACATGTGATCTACATAAAGTTTCTCTCGAGATCTTCATTTTGAACTGGTCACGAGCCGCTAACCATATGCGATAAGCGCTAACCGAACGAGGCTCGATCACCGTCGACGATCGAGGTGTGAAGTGTCTAAACAATACGCCTATTAACCATCACCATCCAATCGCGAGCGTTAGAGATCACGACATGATCACGTTTGAAGACGCTTGTCCAGGGGAAAGTCTCCGGACACCTACCGATTTTGCACCTACCTAGTTAGCGTTAGGGTTAGAGTTTTTTATGATTGGTTAATTTATATTTGGTAGGTGCAAAAATCATGTGTTGGTAGGTGTCCGGAGACTCTCCCCTTGTCCAGTCGGGTGTCTCTTTATAAGCGTGACCAATTGTCCAACTTCACCCGCACCAATTGTGCATGTTGTGTATAACATAATGGAGTTGGTTACTTATTGTTTCATTGAACTAAGTATTGATAAAGGTTGATGGTTAGTATGTTTTGATAATTTAAAGATATAAACTCGATTGTAATTATTATATTGCTTAAAAATATCATCACGAAAATGCAAAATACAAATCAAATTGACGCACAATTTCAAGCTACCTTTAAAAAATATAAGAAAAATTTAATTGATCGTTGTATTTCCTTTAGTTCATCTAATCATGAAGAAATAATTTACAAAGGTGATGGGACAAGGGTTATTAAGATATATGATACATTCGCAAATATGGATATGGTTATTAAACAATACACAAAATACTTAAATGAGTCGTCGGAAAATCACGTGAACGGAAAATCGATCCTATGCTCTGGCGTTGTTTGGCTGAGGTATACAGTAAGTCATGTGAAATATAAATACTTGAGTATATACCTTATTACAATATGTAGGTCATAGGGAGACATTCATATGATTGGTTAATTTTGGTAGATCTACCCGTGATTGCCAGTCAAAATACATAATTTTATTAATACTACAGTACTAGAAAACGAAACAAACCTTCGAATAAAGAAGCTTACAAACTAATAAATACACACAAAAGAACGAATTACTTATATTTAAAGAATAGATAGATACGCGTAAAGTAGGTAAATGTGATATTTATTATTTATAAACCCTTATTAATATATGGTTGACAAGCCCAAATACGCTACAAGAACCGACCAAATTTAAATATTAAGCCCACTTGCACCTATTCAAATTAAACAGTTAAAATTAAAAGTTTATCTAAATCTAACATAATAAATAGCTTTAAACGAAAACGTTTCCAGTTACCTTCACTCTACAATATGGTCCAATAAACAGTAGGTATACTTTGACTTCTAAGTAAAGTTCTCGGGGTTACTGATTATTTTTGATTATTTTTTTTATAGTGAATATAAACGTTCTTTCGAAGTGAAAAATGGCTTTTGTAATGATTTTTTATTAGTGAAACGTTAAAGTGTATACCGTATTGTCACGGAATAACGGGCATGGGCGTTAATTAGAGGTTTGGCCCGAATTAAGCTTAATTTGGGCCGAAATTTGTAATTTCACCCCTGCGCGTTATTTCGCGACAATA